ATACGTTGTCGCGTCTGATATCGCAGATAGCATTACAGACACGCCTCATCCGCCTTTGTAAGTAGAATTCTTTGAATCCTTGTAAAATGCAATAATCCCGAGAATTTTCTCACTATGCACGCATATGTTGTTTCGTTTTACACGCTTTTAGAATACGAACTTTTGTATTGAAATTTTCTGAATACTCCATGTATTCTGTTATTCGAAATATATTTTTCTTTACATTTTTTTAATCATTATAAAAAAATTGCTTGATCAAAATCTTTGTTTCTTTTAAATAAAAATCGTAACATAAAATTCTGAAAGCGTCAAAGCAATAATGCTTCTTTTATCAAATCATGTATATTGGCTCTTAAATTTTATATGTTATCCTTTTGCTCTATTTTTTTTTAAATTTTATTATTCTCACAAAATATGTAATGCGTATTGGATAGCTGGGGTAAATTATATGTACAATCCAATATAAATTTTTAATTATTACTATTTACTTAATATTATTAATATTGAATTTCAATTTACTATGAAATTTTTTTTAACTCATTGATCCATTATTGCATTAATTAATGATTCTTAATACAAATATATATATATATATATATATATATATATATATATGTACATGTACATATAATGATGATTGCTGCTAAATTTTTAATTATTATTATTCAAAAAATATTATTAATATCGAATTTCAAAATACACTATGAAAAATTCCTCAATTCAATCCTCAATTGATAGAATTTATTAATTTAAATTATATAGAATTTAATTTATTAAAAAACACAAATTATAGATTATTCAAATCAGAATTTTTGTCAGACATGAAGAGTCCTCGATTTAAAAAACATCACTTGAAGCGATTATAGTACAAGCACCACAGATATATAACCATCCATTTACGGTATCGTAAACATTAGGGATCTGCGTTAGACAACACATCTGGATGCATGTAATTCTGCATGCGAGAGTTACAGTTATTGATAGACCAGTGAGCCGGACAGTATGTCTCGTTAAAATACGACAACGATTTACGTTTAGACGCGACGAAAATGGGCGCAATTGTTGATAAAGCGCGATTTACCCGTCATAAAACTTTGGCGCAAAAAGAGGTTCGGCATCGGTTCCTCGGAATTAATGTGCCGTGAGTAACGCGTCTCCGATGGAACGTACATATAAGAATAAGGAGGAAAGGTCGCATTATTCTGGCTTATTTATCCCTAGGATTTTATCTTGGAACTTCGAAATAATGCGACTTATGATAAGTACGTGTATATATCGTTGTACTTGTTGCTGCATCATGACATATTAATAAATTGAATTGAGAGATTGCATTCATGCATATTATAATAAATTTGTGCTCTGCGAGACAGCGCGTTTGATAATTTTGTCAAGTTTATTGATACTAGAAGATTAAAATGAAGGTAATTTTTAAAATTATTTTTCGAATCTTCATTTGATTTAGAGGGTAGATTCAAAACAAACGATGCACATTTCGGCAAAAGAACGTGATATGTGTTAAAAACAGAAAAATACTCTCTCTTTGTCGTTATTAAAATATAATATATAGTGAAGGGTGCTACATAAAGACGTTACGTTAATTTTCTTAGTATCAACTTAACGTCTGTCTTGTATCGATATGGAAAATCGATCCCGCTACTTAACGTTACCTCACTACAACGAGCGCTTTTCTGTTATGAAAGTTGGGCGGGGAGAAGCGAGCCAAAATTAACGATAAGTTATTATAATATGCTATTTCGTAGGCGGGTTGCGAGAGTTGTGGTACTTTGGAGCGCCAAAGTAAACTCGGTCCTGGTGCCAGGATCTTCCGTATCGGACCGACCAGAGTTTACTTCCAGAGTTCGGAGTTTCGTAATTTGCTGTTGGAGGGCCGAGACGTCGCATTATTGTGCACGCCGCAGTTGTAATAATCTCTGTCCTAATTACTACGCTACGATAAAATAGGATTCCTCTGGAATTGAAAATTCTTTGAAGAGAGCTCCTTGATTACATCCGTGCAACTATAATACCCTATTGTTCGCACTTCGTTAGCTGTACATTTATATTTCCTGCTTCAGATAAAAATGTTAAAAAACGGAAATTAAACTTCTCTTGTCGGAATCGCGCAAAGAAAGTTCTTTGCATGGCAGCAATATGCCCGACAAGATGTTCACGCATATGGAGCCATGATGAGAAAATATACACATATGACACACGTGACTTTTGGATCATCGGGTTTTGTAACGATAATGTGCAAAAACTTGTTCGCGTAGAAGAATACTTCCCGGTGATAAAGGAAGGGGATGTACGCTAAGGAATGTACTTGTCACATGAATAATATGCCTTAATGTTTCCACGTAATTTGCATTTCACCGAATTTATGAGACCGACTGTGGTAGTTTACGACTACGGTGTGACGATCGATTTGAATATCGAGTTTTCTTAATCGCCAGTCGATTCTCGCGACTGGCGAAGTCCCTTTAACGATTACCGCAATGGCGACGAATGCTTTCAATACCGAGTCGGGGATAAAGGACGTCATGAATTATTTCCTTCGACTATAATGCACATTGTGCTTCCGTTAATATGACGAATTAATTAATTTTTCCACATTTTTTCGATAAAATAAAATTTAAACGACACGGTTTATCTTCTTCAAATTGATCCATAATAATATTTTATACATCTCTTTATAGATATCAATTAGCTACGTTATAGATATAAATTAATTTAGTACATGGATTTCTATTTTTTAATAATATTTTATAAATAGAACTTTGATTAAAATTCTTTTGATATTATTTATTAAAAGAAATGGGATATTTATTATATATGTGTATGTTGTGTGTATTTAATTCAAAATATATACAAAAAGTAAATTCATCGTATAATATTGGATTTATATCACATTAAAATTTTTGTATGTAAAATTTATATGTTTCTAAAAGCTAAAATCAATAATGATTTTAAATCATCGTAAAATATTGTTTTCAATTAGGTCAACTAAAAATATTTTGATTCTTTACAAAAAAATAAGATTTTAAGACAAGCGAGAAATTTGCGTAATTGCATTTATGTATATCTCGTTACCGAGAGTTCATTTATACTATAATTAATAAGTTTTATGATTCCTTTTATTATAGTTCCTTTTCCAATTTTTCCTCAATGTACACACTGGTCTTCGACGTGAATTAATTTCAGTGTATAACAGTAAGGTCCTCTCGCGCTTTTACCGCATGAATCGTTACGTTTAATTTCCGAGGACGTCGCATCACACGACCCTGCTCCACTGTTCCTTCGTCTCCTATTATTATAGAAGCGGGGAGGGCCGATTCTCTCGACGATGGAACTAGTCACAGCTGCGCTGACAGCTAACTCGCACCGTATCTCTCATTTGCCCGTTGCACACTTTGCATTATTTTTCGCTCTCTCTTTTTCTCATGCATCAATACGGAATGCATATTATCTGGCATACTTATCCGATCGCTTTTAATTATTTCTGCCCTTTCTATTCTCTCTTCCTTCTCTCGTTTCTTTCTCTCTCCTCGAATAAGTTGATTCGCGCGGATCAACCAAAATTTCGCTTGTCTTAAAATCTTTTATTATCTTACATATACAAAGGTCAAACGTACTGGAGGAAGCGAGGGTGGGTCTCACAGCGATGAATGCGCTACAACGAATTTTTGGTACATGCCCTACGGTATTACAGTCGACACAGCAGCGGGAATTGCAACGGGTATCGAATCATAATCGGATGAGGGATGTAACTCGCGATTAACGAGCACGAAAATTGGCACGGATGAAGTGCGCTTTTCGAATATTGTCCGCTGTTCGCTCGATTTCGTCCGGACACGAGCGCGGCAATAACATTCGGGGTGGTTGAATTTGTTTCCGTTATGAATTCGTCGCGATTTATTTCGACGGCGCGATTCGAAATGGCGCTTTATGCCGCGGCACATACTTTGTAATCGAATTACTGGGATTCCGATTTCCGTTCTCTTGCATCGCGATATACTTGGCTAAATCGGGAAGCCAACGATGCATTTTGCATCGCGAAGAATGAAAGCGTTACGCATCAGAACCATCAAAGTCATCAATGATGCATGACTCTTTTCCTTCTCCTCCCCTTCATCCCCTTCATCCCCTTCATCCCCCTCCTCATCGCTGCGCTCTGGCGAGCTGCCAATCTTCCTTGCTACGGCGCGTTCCTTTTCTCCGGACCTTCGTATCAATTTTCCATCCTTGCGATCGCGATTACGTCATGGACGCGGCGGATTCCTTAGCGGAATGTTTTATGACTATTCAACCGTATGATCAAACCCTCGATGATCGTGTAGCATTATCATAAAATGCGCTGTTATGGATATTATAATCGCGAGAATTGTAAGAAACCGTTTTCCTCTCTTTATCATCTTGATTTATAAAAGAGATAAAATGTAGAGAAAATGCATTGTACCTTTTTAATGCTTCGTTAAAAGTTCAATAATTTTCAAAAAGCGAGGCAACATCTGTCATTTATCTGTATTTCAAGCGTCATAAGATAATGGAACATGACATAAAATCGCGATAGAATCGGTGGTGCATACGTTTGATCGATATTCTCACCGAAATTCACATTGTATGGAAGTACATGTGACACAACGGACCTAAACTCGATCGTAAGGCTCCACATAAATCAGTATTATCTCGCATTAATGCTCTACCAGCGCGGAGGTAATGTTCATAGATTCGCTTGTAATGAACACGCTACGCATCCTGTACATTAATCCATGTAAAGAGTATCTGATATGCATTATAGCGCATAAATCGATACGCATCATAGTACCTCTGTATAAATTTATAATAAACATAAGTACATTTATATACGTAATCCATGATAATCAGGCACACAGGGTAATTTACACTTATATTACATGTATTTATTATATGTATTACATATTTTTATTATCTTACATATACAAAGATATATACATATATATATATATATTTTTTTTTGTTTCTAGAGATATTGCTGTGAATTTTCCCGGAAGTTTTCTGCCCACTTCCAAGCACGGACGCAAAAAGTAAGATACATATTATACTTTAACCATTGTAAGTCGCGTTTTTTTTTTGTAGTTGAAAGTAACGAGTTGAAAACCCCTCCGCGTATGCGATTATATACGTTGCAGCAAGCTTCAATGTATTTATGCGATGGAAATTGCGAAGCTTCCGTATCGAGCCATTTGGTGCTAAAGATACTTTAATCGAAAATGTTTCTGGGCGAACCAATACTTGCGCGGCTTGATATTGATGGCTACATATTTATATCTAACATACTTTTTTTTTTGCAAAAGAATGTAATATACGCGTCTTTTGCGCAAGTTCTCGTTTCTCGGTCCAGTGAAATAAATATTGGCTTTCGGCGACAAACGGGAGATATGCCGTCAATTCGAGTATCGACTGTCGAATAATATTTATTTAGATGATATCGATCTCTTTGTAGAATATTGGCTTTTCCCATGGCAGCGATCGGATTTTACAGACTCGCTTCCTCTTGCCGCTTTTCTCGCTACGATTGGCGAACTTACCTTCATCTCGAAAACTGTGCGAAGCGCAGTTAATATTATATAACGGCAGGGACAAGTTTCTGAGAACGGGCGAATATTTATAAGATCGCGTTAAGTATTACAGATGATGCTCCTTCATGGCAAATGTGGAGCGATGGTCAGTCGTTCAAGTTACTTTTTACGTTATCATTCAGCCAATTTATAAACTCGAACTCTCAAATTTAGAAAGTTGCGGAAATTTAGAGAGTTGTGGAAATTAGCGCTGTTTTAATCGCATAATATTTTAAAGTGTGTATATAGTTTTATGATTTACAGCTCGCGTCTGTTTACTCTCAGTCGGTCTACTTTGTTACTGACAGCTCAACATGTACCACAACTATACTCCATTGTACGTGCATCATTCGAACGTGTCTAGCGCAACATTCCTAGCTTGATGTTCCGTACGTGCACTATTCGCTTTCCAGTAAAGTCTACTGTGTTTCCTGTCCCGTGACATCGCCGAGCGAGGAAAAAGTATCGCAAAAAGTACCGAAAAGCTATATATTTTACGCCGCGTATCCCCTGATTTTTTTTTAATTAATATTTGTATAGCGAAAACAATTTAGCTTCACTTATAATATATTTCTCACGTATGTCGTGGTTTTTGCGCAAATTTATCCCACGGTTAAATTCATTTATCTGATAGTTAAATTTAGTAGCGGAGATTTTATCAAAATTTTACATCCGCTTAATATTATACATATTTAATACTGTTCTATTCCGACTTAAGCTATTAAAGCTTAACATTGTATCCAAAATCAGCTTATTCTCACCGCATAAACTCGGTGGACCGCGCGAGATCGATTCTATCAATTAATCAAAACGCCAGAGACACGAGAACGATGATCTTGGCCACGATCGATATCCTCACGCGTGTCGCCTTGAAGGAGAGCTACTTGATGAGATGGACTTTATTTCTCGAGCGCGTGATTCTAATTTCGATGAATTCTCGCGAATACCGACGCCGACATTTTTACCAGCAACTCTCTCCGGTCCCCTCTCTCCCCCGCCTTCTCTCCCGTCCCCTAGAAGTAATTTTAAATTAAACACTCGCCGCACCGGTTTAATAAAGCTTAATGCACAGTCTGTGTTGACGGCAACAAGTGCAAATTGCGTCGCCGCGTATTGCTGCGGCAACAGCATGGACCTACCCCCCGTTTTGCCGTTGTAATAATTCTCCGGTCCTCTCGCCGAGTCTCTCCTTTATCCGTCTCCGTCGTTGTACGAGTGCTCCCGGCGAGTGGTACGACTATGGGATTTTCGTGTAGCTTGGAGCATACGGGACACACCGGGGGTCGACGGCACGTTTCATCGCCAACGTCGTCGTTTTCGTCTTCCTAACGGTAGATGCCTGCGGGGCGCGTCTAACCGCCACGATAAAATAGCGCATTCTGAACACTCCCATTCCCTTCCCCGCGTTCACCTTCTCTCCTCCCGGGCGGTTCTTTCTCATCTTTTTTTTTTTTTTTTTTTTTTTTTCTTCCCTCTGCCCCTATCGCTTTGTCGAGGATAAGAATATCAACCGCGCGAGGAGAGGGCTTCTGGGCGCGATAACGATGAGTAAAGTGGAAGTTTAAACGAACGTTGAAAGATGCAAAGGATACGGTCCACCGGAAACGCGGAAGGCGGAAACGGGAGTTGAACCTCGCTGCCTGGATCCTGGAGCGGGGACCGACGCGCCAGATATTTATTTCGGGGAACGTAGCTTTTAGAAGATTACATTCTGTTTGTTGCCCGAATTTATTGACTTTGATCTCGGTTGTGGCATTTTTCTGCTTATCTTAGTCGGTGAGCATGCGAAAGTGTATACCCGGGGCTGTGTAAGTCGGGGAGTAACGCGTCGACGAGAAATTTTATGGCGAAAAATTTCGCATGCATGTAAAATATATCTTGCATGCATCATATAATAATGCTCACGATCATAAATCAAAATTTGGGTCGGAAACACTCGAGTCTTTCAACTTTTACGTTCATTTAAAAAGGGGAAAAAAGACAGCATTCCTCCGAAGATTAATCTCGGATATCTTTATTCGTGTATATTTTCCAGCATTTTATCGTAGTACACGCAGTCGATTGTTTGATATCGGTATCAATGACATAAATCGTAAAGAATTAACTTTCGCGTATCTATCACAATCATGACCTCCTGTCGACATCTGATTGCAATTTGCGTGGCAGTAAAATAGCTCGTATATTGCCTCGTATATTCGTATCATCAGTCGTGCGCAATATTCGTGCGTGCTGTAATTGCGCTACATGTGAACTGTCGAGAAAATTCACGAGATATACCGACCGACTGCCAGGATCAAACGTCAAAGTCTGGCTCCCACGTGGCTTCTTCATTTTCGCTTGCACACGGATGCATCGCAATATCTGGATCTCTGTACGCGAGCTAACCCTCCGGGATAGCTCTCCTCGCTGTTCGTTGCGGATATCTTATTCGTTCGCACGTGAGAGGTGGTTCTAAACGAAAATATAACGAGAACCATCAGCGAAAATGTCAAACCGGGACAAATGAGCGACCGAGGCACGATTTTTTAGACGATACGTGAGATCATCGATGATATTCGAGACACGAGCGAATAAACGAGCACGAGGGAAACGTTCGATCTATTCTTTTTGGCGATGAGGGCTAAATCTCACGGCGAAGCTTGGCAATCTATTTTTGTCGATAAATACCGTGGAGAAATTTAAAAGCGACGAATTTAATTTTCCTCGATGACAAAAATATGTGACGTGTAATTTGACGGACACGACGCGCGTCCAATGTAGAAAATAAATTTTATAAATACGTATCAGGGAAGGAATTTAGTGCAAAAGTGTTAAGCGGAAAAATACGTTTTCCACTAAACTAGAATTCATTCGCGAGGAAAAAGTAGTATCGATACAATATGCTTGTTTCCCTCAGGGATGGACTAAAAAACGATAATCGTAAATTTCGAGATTTTCTCTTTTGCAAATGTCACTACAATTTATCTGTTATTCGAGCGATTGTCAAACGTGAGATCTAAGATTTATTCATCGACGATGGAAAAACAATATTAATTGTATCCGAAACGTGAGAAGCGCGTTGTGAAAAAAAAAAAAAACGTCATTCTCGCGAGAAACAGGCCGGGCAGGCAATACGACTCATTATTCGACGTTCAACGTGACACCGAGCGACGACTCTCCGAAGCTGTAACAACATAATTTAAGCTCGTTAACAGACACAGCGACGGGTGTACTCGAACGCCGACGTCGCCGTCGCTCTCTCGAAGCGCTCCGTGAAGTTCGTCAACCTAATTCAACGGCAGTTTACTCCCGTTTATGCTCTCGCGCTCTCGAGACCCGAGCGAATCGCTCTCATTGGGCGGCGCGCCGTTTCTACATCGCTCGCCGGAAGAAAACGAACGTTTGTCAGCGTCCTAAAGCTGTGAAACTCTGCCTCTCGGACGTGCGAAATCCAGTTTGACGAACTTCCGACTACGGCGCGGCAATTTGGCCGCTTTTTGCCGGCCGATTCGCGAGAGATTTACGACATTATCTCGAGAAAAGAACGACCACTCGCCTCGCCCGAATCACCTCCGACTCCGATTCGCCAAGTATTTCTCGATCGTTTCCCTCGACGAGCGCCGAGGTGTCGCGTCAGGTGAGAAAAAGCTTTTCCCGGCCCGGGGTTTCATACTCGAGAGCGACACTTTATCATTGACTGCCGCAAACAGTGGGAACTGTTAAGCGAGCGCGCGTGGCACGCATGACAAACTCGCACATTACGCGCTAACGGCATGGAGCACTTTGCACCAACCGCCATGCTAGGCACGAGCGAAACGCAATTATCATTAGCTGCGGGAGAGCGCGGCAAAACCGCAGCGTGGTAGTTGGTCTAATTGGTTAACCGCAATTAACTTGGGTATATACAATTAAAAAAAGAATGCGACCCGATACAAATGTTTGTGCCCGCCAATTTTATATCGATACCTCGGGATTGTCCTCCCGGGGAGAATATCTCCCATTTTATTTCGCGAAACGCCGGAAATTTCCTCCCGATGTTTCTCGTGTTTTTCGAGCGTAACGCGTAAGTCAAAGGGGCGAGAAAATATTACGCTTTCGAGGGCGCTGTGCCACGCGCGCGCTATACATGCACCGTGAAAATGCAGTCGATTCTTCGTTCGCTATGCATAACCACTTCTCTTGAGTCCGCATTGCGATTCTTTCGAGATTCCCGCTCGCTCGCATCGACGCGAATATAGGTATATTCGCCCGCGTATATCGGTCCGATTCGGATTTCAGTCTTTTACGACGATGTCCCCGGACGCGTCGAATATCTCGTGATAAATAAGGCGGATATCCGTGTCCACGAAGAGAGGCGAACGGTCTTCAGAATCCGAGGAGAGCGGACAATATACAAAGCTCTCTCGCCCCAGAGCTTCGGATTACGCGGAGATAAATTCCGTGTCGCGTGTGTGTTTGCCGTGGGTGTGCTTTAACATCGCTCTATC